GAGGACAAGGGACAAGCTCCAACTACCTCGGAAGTGACTTTACAAATTAATAAACAACCTAAATATCCATCAATGATGAATGAACAAACACAACATGGCCTGTCCACACACAGGAGTGTCACTCAGCCATGAAAGGAGTGAGGCGCTGACACTCACCACAACGTGGATGGGCCTTGAACACACGGTGCTCATGAGAGAAGCTAGACACACAAGGCCACACAGTGTGTGATTCCGTTTATGTGAAATGTCCAAACAGGCAAGTCCACAGACAGGACGTGGGTTCATGGTTGTCAGGGGATGGGGGGGGGGAGGGGCAGGAACTGCTGAAGAGAATGAGGTTTCTTTTGGAGGTGATGAAATGTTCTGGAATTACATAGAAGTGATGGTTGTACAACTCTGTAAATTACCAAAAACCACTGAACTTCAATTGGGTGGATTATGTGGTGTATGGATGGTATCTCAATAAAGCTGATAAAAATAAATATATACATATATGTAGAAGAAATGCTGGCCTCATCAAGGGCCAGGTCGGGGCCAGAGGTAGGGTCCCACCTACCCTGTGGGGTGTCGTAATATCTTGCAGGCTCTGCCGTGAGACTCCATGATCAAAAGATTGGGATACAAACCGACCAGGGCATCACCTGCTCATCCCTGCCCATCACTTGGCCTTCAAGTCCCCCCACTGATGCTCCCCTTACCCCCAGGCCTGGCCCTGTCCCATCACTACACTTTTGTCCATGCAGTGACTCCACCCAGCCTGCCCTCACTCTAGTCCTTACCTAGTCTACCCAGCACAAGGCCTGGGCTCCCCTCCTGATTTCCAGCCTAATCCAGGCTTTCCCAGTGATGGGCTCTGTCACCTGAACTCCTGCTTGAAAGCCTTGGGTAGGAGACAGACACCCCAGCTCGATTTCACACTCCTCAGACTGGAAGACCTCCACTCAGCCATCCAACACTGCACTAGGAACCTTTGGCAGCATGGCCAGGGCCCCCTCTAGCCTCCCTGGCATTCAGAGACTGGGCTGTTTTTCTAACCAAGCCAGCCTGGCCCTGTGGGCAGCTCTGACACCACAAAGATATGAAGTTGGATATACGCCAACTCAAATGTTGGGCCCTGGTCCCCTGGCTCAGTATTTCTCTCTGAGCTGCCCCCACAACCCCTGTCCAGCTTGAACCTTGACTTGCTCCTCCCTGATCTGGCCCCTCAGCTACCAGAGGCCCTTTCTGGTGCCTGAGAGCTCTCGCTCCTTCCCTGCTCAGACACTATCTATCCATGGTTCCCCATGGCCCCAAGCTGGGCACCCCAGGCCTGGCAGGATCTAGCCCCAAGAGTACAAACCAAAGCACTCCCTTCTCCCAATACTTTCTCCCCTCTGGACATTTATACAAGCCAGTCTTTCCACTAGGTGCTCCCTTCTGCCTGCCTGGATAAACCCTTAAATATCTTTCACAGAGAAGGTCCATGAAGAAACAGATCAGGAAACCTTCCCCCACACCTCAAAGAAGACCTACCATGGGCCACCCCCCCAAGCCCCTCTGATCTTCATGGAGCTAGAATGGTCAGCAGGGAGTGTTTCTTAAATGAACAGATGAGAAATTTCCTGGATGAAGAATGGACAGAAACAGGGTCCCAGAGTTGGAAAACGGTGATGTGATTTTTTTTTTCCTGAACATTAACCCATCTCCCATCATTAAAATCTGAGACCTTTGAGGGTGGTACTTACAGGGTCCAAGTCCATATAGCACCTGCCCCTCTTCTAACTGCACCCCAACCAGGAAGGGGCTGGGTGGGCTCATGTCCCCAATCACCAGATGTGAAAAGTGAGTCCTAGGGAAGGTGAGTGACATGCCCAAAGTCTCATAAGGAGTCAGGACACCCCCTTTCCATGCCCCACTCTGGAATCAGCATTCACAGAAGAGGTCTCTGGGAGGAGGAGCCAGATGCCATCAGGGGCCCAGGCCACAGCCACGGCCACCAACCAGGCTGAAAAGCTCATGCCAGGATACTGAGGAACCCCGCAGACCACAACCTCTGGGACACAGGAAGGTACAAAGACTTCCTCCCCACTCCCAGCTCCTGCCCTAACAGCTAAGAGGACCACCCAGGAAATCCCAGTCTCATCCCTTTCCAGCTGTGTGGTTTCAGGCATGTCATATCACCTCTCTGTACCTCAGTTTCCCCAGGGCTGCTGTAAGGATCCAGCAAATTCACACAGACAAAGCACTCCAAACAGGGCCCAGGTATAGAGCAAGTGCTCATTAAATGATTGCTAAGTCAATAAATGATGCTGGCACTTCACCACCATCCCATGTCCCTGCCACCACCTCCAGTGTTATCCTCATGTTCCTTCCCCTTTACCTCACTCACTGTTTAAATCAAACCGCTAGTTTTAGAAGGAAAGGGTTCATTGTTACCAAGCCTGAGAAAACCAGAAGCCACTGACACAAACATCAGAGTAAAAACATTGAAAAAACAACAACACTGAAAATAAACGCTTGTTATTCAATTATCACTAGATACTGCTGCCTTTTAACTAGCTGTGCCTCTCATTTAAAAGGGAGATTAGCAAGTGTGAAAGATAAGGACCCAGTAAGCAACCAATGGAGACTTTGTCCTTGAAGATGTCCAGGCCTGAGGGGGGAAGGAACCTGGGAAGGTCCTGCCCCAGCTCCCCTCTCCTGCTCCAGTCCAGTGTCTGCACCCTTCCCTCACCCAGAAGAGCACTTGGGCATCTGACAATGGCTGCTCCAAGCTAAAATAGTTTTATTTTACCAGCCAGACCCTGAGGCTCCCAGAGGAGCAGCACCTTCCCGGTAGCCACACAGCAAATCCTCCCCAGGGCAAGCTTGGCACCCAGCTCCCGAGCCCCACCCCCCAGGAGTGTCTCCACATGCTGCCACCCCTACCCTTGTCCCACCTTTGCAGCATCAGCCATCTCTCCCACAGCCTTGGTGATTAGTTACTTGCTAGTTTTCAATAAATCCTTAAATTCGTAAACTAATGAAGATTAGTTTAATCCTTAAATTGATGAAATTTTGTCAGATTCTTAAATTTATTTTTAAAAGAAACTTTCGGGTACCACCATAAGCTGCAACCATTTCCCGTGACTCTGGTGGCAGAATCCATGGAAACGAGATGAGGTGAGTGATATGTTCTAGTGGCTATTGCCTCTGTGCCTGGAGCCTGCTCTGCCCTCTTGGAAAAGGACAAAGGGCAAGGGACAGGTGTTCCAGTTGGGGCAGCACCAATTGCAGCTTCTCCCCACTATTGTCAACCCAAGCACTGGGGACAGGCTTTCTCTCATGGCTATTCAGACCAGGTAACGCCAAGTCCCATTCCACATCTGTACTCAGAAAAGCCAGTGATCCACCTAACAGAGGGACATGACACCATATCTGACCCATAATCAATAAGGCACAGGGCAGGGCACCCTCCTTGTGATGTGTGACCCTGGGGCAGGGCTGGCCCTTTCTGGGCCTGTCTCCACTCTGAGAAAGGGGTTGTGGGAAGGGAAACAATGGGGTCTGACCACAATATCCCCCCATTCCTCTACTCTAGGTGAGTGTTTTCCTTGCTTTTCACCCCTCATCCCCTGAGGCAGCCCCTTGCCCACAGCCACATGCTGCCCTGGGCCTGCTGTCATGAGGCTCAGAGGCTCCCCTTGGGCCCAGGGAGCAGAGCAGATAAACAAGTGGGGGATCGTAGTGCAGACAAGTCTGGGCCAGGCTCCCCTGAGCCCCTGGCTGGGCTCCCAGGGCGAGTGGGGGAGCAACCAAGCCTTTGTCTGGGTTTTCAAAAGCAGAGGACACTGGGTGTTGCCTTCCCAGGGAGGGCAGGAGGCAGGGGCTCCCACCCAGTTGAGGGTGTGGTGGATCATGGGTGAACCCTTGGAGGGAAGTTGTCTGCTCAGAAAACACACCCAGTGGGAAGTGCAGGGGGAGCTGGACTGGTTTGATCTCTATGTTCAGGCCTCTGGTCGGGTGGGAACCTGGCCCAGAGCAGGGCAGCTGATTGCCTCCTGCACACAGTGGGCATGCCGCCAGTCCCCAGACACCTATTTCCCACTCCCTGCCCTTGCAAACACACCCCACAACCTCCCAGTGCCCACCTGTGTAGTGGGGGTATGGGGGCCACCCTGACACCAGAAGAATGACCCTGTCTGAAATGACCACTCACACTCATCACCTGTAAAAACCCTCGCTGCCCAGAAGCCCCTGACAAACCCAACACAGACCTAGGTCAACCACTCCATTCGAACCAGGGGCCAGCTGCCTCCTGACTACAGCATTTGGGGCCCCATCTTGGGGATACTGTTCCCGGAGGGAATAATCCCCAAGCTCCCTGTTGGAAAGCACCTGAACCTCCGGTCTCGTACATCCCAGACCGGAAGCTGGGCAGAAGCCCCCTCCCTCCGGTGGCAACTCGGGACATCTGCAGACCGGACTGGCCTTAGCAGGGGCTCCCTACAATACTCGAGGCCCTTGAGGAGGGCAGCCAGACAGAGGGAGGACTAGCCGGTGCGTGCGTCCAGGGCGCAGGGAGCAGCGAACTCAGGCTGTGTGTGTGGGGTGGGGCTGAGCTCAGGGCCTGACCGGTACAGTGGGGAGGGGTCGCTCCATCACTCCAGGGCACCCGCTCGGGAGCCCACAGGTGGCGGAGGGCCGGGGATAGCCCACGGAGCGCGGGCACGGCACGGGCGGGGCGCGGGCGGAGACACCATCTTCCCCCTCCCAGTGTCCTGGGCTGCCCCCAGCCGCTGCTGCCCGAGTCCCTACGAGGCCGTGGGCCGCTGGGGTCCGATAGGGGGAGGCCTCAGGGCGGGTGTGGCCTAGCCCGTGTCCCGCCCGAGCTGAGCTGGGGGTCCTGGAAGCCCCTGGCCACCTCCCTCTCCACGCGGGGCAGTGACGCCCCGGGTAGGGGGATGTAGTGGGGACCTCACCCCTCCTTCGGGTCCCCAGCCCTCCGAGACCCCGGCCCCGGCTGGAGCGCGCCTACTCACTCCATTTCCCCTCCGAAGTCCGGGTGGGTCCGTGATGCTGGGCGGGGGATGGCGCGAGAGGGCGCTCGGGCCGAGGTGCTAGGAATCGGCGGGCTAAGGCCTGGGGACCTGGGTAGCGCGGCGCGGGGGCGACGGCACCCGCTCGGGCATTGCTCCGCTCGCGGCTGTTTATTGTCCGGGCGGCGGGTGCGGGGGGTGGGCTGGGCGCGCGCGTCGCCGCCGCCGCCACCGCGTTTCTCTGTCGTTCTCCTCCCCGCCCGGTCCCCTCCCACCTCCCGGCGCCGCGGTCCGCGCTGCGCCTCCTGCCGGCCGCTGGAGCTGCCGCAGCGCCTCCAACCCCGCGCGCGGACCTGGCCGGAACCTCCCAGGAGTCCTGCCCGGTCCCTCGCCCCGATTCATTCATCACATCTCCAAAAGGGGCTGATGCTGGCGGCCAGGCGGGTCTGCTCTCTGGCTTGGGACCTATCCGTGACCGCGACAAAATCCCGTCTCTCCCCAGGTCCCGGTCCACAGAGGGAGCCGGTGGGGACAAATAAACCGGGCAAAGGTCAAGTGAGACCCCTGGGGAGGTCAGGAAGGCCGCTGGGAGGAGCCGACGTCTGTACTGCAGCCTAGAGGTCTGGGAGAAGAAAACCCAGGTGCGGGGCACTGCAAGTGCAGAGGCGGGGCGGTGGGACCCAGCCAGGCCCCTTTGAGGAGGAATAGCAGTAACACAGAAATTGCTGAACTTCTGAGCACTTGCTGGGCACTGGGCGCTGGGCGCCGGGCCTGGTCTTAGATTTGGAGGAGGGTTAATGATTAAAGTCTGCCTCACAGCTCCCACAGCACACTGCAAGCCTGTGTGGTCAGAGTGGGTGAAGGGGACAGTGGAGGGAGCAAGGAGAGCTCATGCTTTGTCCTGAGGGCACTGGGGAACCACGGGCAGTTTAGAGCAGGAGAGGAACCAACCTGATTTGTTTTTGTGAAGGTCCCTCTGGCAGCCAGGTACGAAGTGGATTAAGGAGGGCAAAGAGAGAGGCTTGGAGGTAGGGAAGAGGCTGAACTGCTCCCCACCCCACCCCCAGGACATGGCAGACTCTGGACCAGGTTGAGAGGCAGGTGCATTCTGGGTGGATTATGAAGGGGGAACCGACAGGATTGCCACCAGATAGAATTTGGGGTCTCTCTATTTCCAGATTGAGCCCCTGTATGGGAACTGTGGGGATGACAAAGAGTGACATTGGGTGGGCAGCTTGATGCCCAGGTTGGAGTTCACAGTGAGGCCCAGTTTAGGCTAGGGGTGGGGCTCTCCGGTGCTAGGATGCCTGGATGAGATCCTGAGGGGAACAGGCGCAGGCAGCAGACAGAGGCATCCAGGTCCCCTGCCTTCCCCTTGATTTTTCAAAGCCTATCTTGAGGCCTTCATGCAGCATGTGTCACCATGTGGACCCCACAGATGAGCAAAGAGGCAGGACCTGTCACTGCCAACATGTACACTGTGGCCCTGACTTCCCAGTTTCTTGTGAGAACACTAGCTCCCTGGTTCTGAACACACTTACTGGCTGGTGGGGGGGGGCAGCAGGAGGAGGAGGTTCTTCCAACCCCCTTCGTTTTCTTGTAAAATGGTTCTACTCAGCAGGTGCTCAATAAATGGGTGTGTGCAAAGGGAAATAGCTTTGGATGGGCTCTGGAGAAAGAGGCTGCAGGATGCACCCCTGAGGGGGCAGGAAAACTGCTATGTCTTTCTTTTTTTTTTTTTTTTTTAAATTTTACTTTCAGATATTAGATATTTAAGTAATTATTTTACACAGTTTTATTAAGGAGTTTTAAATCTTTTTTTTTTTTTAAAGATTTTTTATTTTATTTTATTGGGGAATTGGGGGGATGGGAACAGTGCTGGGGAATTGGGGAAAGGGGAACAGACAAGTTGCTGTCGTTTTGTTCTTCAATCT